CTTAATGATTCTATGATTCTATGAATTAATCTCAAAAGTCTAGAGCAGCTCACTTTTTTCTGGTATTTATCAAACTGAAGAAAGAGTAATCCAGGTTGATTCTAAATGATGCTGTTACCTAAACTGCTGCAAATGCAACTAGAGGATGGCTTTAAAAAAACCTGGACCTCCAATTCTAAAAAGTATGTCTTTGTACATATTTGTACATCTTGTTTATTAAAGACAAGCAAGCTAAATCTTTGTAATTTTAAGAAATGTGTAGCTAAAGGCTATGACTTTAGTACATATAGCTACAGCCAGGTTCTGCAATTTGGAACTATCCCTTGTCTTGTTTCTTTTTGTGAATTTTCCTTTTTAACGTTTGCTAGACATTGGAGAGTTTATTTTTCAGAGCTAAACACACAGAACACAAAAGCTGTATGAAAGAAACTTATATAGATGATCATGTGCCCAGGTTCTTACCATCAAAAAAGAATATCCTATCCAAAGACTCCTCCAGTTCACAGGGCAGGGAGGAATTGACTGATCTTGGCTGTGAACTGCTACTGCTTGTGCTGGGGCCTCACATACAGCACATCTGCTTATATATGGTTGTATTTCTTCTTCAGAGAGTGGCGTCATTGGTAAAGGAGCAGCACTTGACAACCAGTAAGACTTATCATTTCGACTGGCATAGTAACAAACTTGGTTGATATTACAGTAAGCAAAGGGCATGGTATTAAACACAGGAAGACAAGATCCTGCCAGACCTGAAAATAATAACAAATGATGAAAATTACTCCACTTCTTTCTAGGTAAGTTGAAAATAGTATTCTGGCCAATGTTGCCGCAAAACTATGTATCTTAACAGAAGTTACGTAATTCACAGATCTTAAACCTCCCAGGCTTTTTACCAAAATGGCTAGTTATATTGAAAACAGAAGCTTTTTTTACGAATAAGTATCTTTCTTTGACCAATAATATTTAGTTGTGTCACAATTCAGTATTTAAACATGATGTAGTTTGTCACCATGGGAAACAGTTATGATAACAAATTTCTTAGCTGTGCCAACACTGAAAAATAAATTAGGCAAAAGGTGGCGGCTGGTTTAAAGAGAGATTAGCTATTTACAAACTCATTAGGAGCAGTGAGAAACCAAATGCCAGTGCTGATAAATAGAAAATTTTTGTGAAGTATGACAAGCCGTTGCTACCAGTGCATTAAGCTGAAATCTCGGCAGCTGTTCTATTGCCTTCCAGAAAGCTTTCACAGACTCTCAAAGTGAAATAAAAGGATTGAGGGATTTTGCAAAGCCAATCCTGCAAAATTCTCATCAGGCAGACATCAGTGGGAATTAAGAAGTGACTAGTGCATACTTCAGCATACTTCAGAGGTGAAATTCTTCTTCCAGAACTGAATTTAGAACAGTTTCATAATGATCTATTTAGTTAACAGTAATAATCACTGCATATATGTTCTGCCTTGAACTTTATGATGTACTATTTCTGTAATGCCCCCAAATCCTAATGCCTTCTTTAAAGACATATGATATTTCTATGCAGAAGCCAGTTTTGTTTATCACTGATAATATTCTATGCCAGTACTAATAAAGGATCTGGAGTAGCCTGAGTAAGGAAAATGTCTGCAAAAAGAACACACTGGTCACAGGAAACAAGGACTTTATTTTCTTTGAATCTTATTTTCACTGCTGTTAGAAGGCATTCTGTTACCAACTGGCTCTCCTGGGGAATGCCAAACACACAATAGGGAAAACATTTCAAAACAACGCTGCTGTACTAAAAATATCTCTTTTTATTGCTCTTTTAAACACTTCTTTTCTGTCCAGCTTATTAGGTCCTTGATCTTTCGTCCTAGGAGACTTCTCTGCCTCTTGTATAACCAGTCAACAAGAATTTAGGAAATCTCTTCTGTGCAAATTGCTTCTGACCCTTAAAATCACAATATTCTGCTGTACACATGATGCATAATTTTATTTGTAAATGTTATTTATACTACCGGACTGTAACCACCTAACTTAACCAGCTCTTTTTCCCAAGCTGTCTCTACAGTAAAAAGGAGCAGATCCTCCGAGGGAGTTTTTTCAGAGTGGCCAAATGAGATTCCTGATCTAGGAAAATCTCTCCAGTGAGTTCAAAGACAGTCCAAAATGACTAGCCAGGATGAGTGAAATAAACCACTCATCTCTCCAACTTCTATTCAAAATTACTTAGAGGTAAAAATACTTTTTTCATTCAACTGCATAGCAGCAGAAAGTCATTTTAAATGGGTCACATAATAGGGCAGCATAACCAAGTTCATTATAATCAGTGTAAATTAGTTTTGAGTCTGTAGAAAATAATTAATTGATGATTCTATAGTGTGCTCCATTTGACTTGTCTTTCATTGTATAGATCACACCATATTAGACCTTAACTGGAGAGCAATTATGTACTACAATACATACCAAGATCTTGATTATGAGCTTTCTCTTGTCCTTCCAGGTACAGCAGACTATAGCCAGTCCATAATTTTGGCATCCCCTGTGGACAGAGTGGTTCTCTGTCTGACTGACTGTGAAGGACGAGCAAGAATCCACTTGCAGATCTAATATGGGGGCCTGGTGGTCCTGGGATACCAGTCTGGCCAGGTGGACCTTATACATAGGAGAAAAGGTAAAAGAAATTTACTTGTATGAACACGTAGCTAGTGTGAACTTTTATCTTTTACTGTACTTAAGTGTTCAGTAAGGGGTCCTGACTGAATATAATACAACTTCACAGGTTGTTACGGGTAATAAAGACACCAGTAGACTGATGTTATCCTTCTTATGGGAGAGAAATGAACTAGATTGCCACTGAATGCTTGACAGTTGGCTTTTCTGTTGTGCCTCCGTCCTGTGCTGTAGGAATTAAGAAATGAACTGAGGGGCATTGCCACTGAGGTGGGCAATGATATCCCAGACTTAACTCACCAGGATAACTTGTCTGGACTGAATTTGAATCCCTGCAGTAACACTCGATGCCCTTTCCTCATACATGTATTAAGCCATTAATTTATTAAACAGCAGTCACAGTTAAAATACAATTTTAATTACTCACAGGCAGTTGCACTATTAGCCCTGACTCAGAAGTGCATACCTATTGATAGATGGTGTTTAAGCATGTGTGGTTAATTGCCTTTCTGGTTAATAATGGATGCTGAGATAAATTGTCTTCCGATAGGTCTTTTTATGTGTTATGAAATCATTCACAAGTGTCACTATCAGTGCTTGAACTGAGAGGAGAAAGTGTCATGGTATTTCAGGCTAGAGGCAGATGTATCCATGTGTGAATCGGGGGAGTAGAGAGAAAACTTAGTCTATACATCATCTCACGCATCTCTCCCTGCAAAAGTCATGTTCCATTCTTACCTTGTGGCCCAGTGTATCCTTGCTCTCCTATATTCCCTTGGTCACCTGGTCGTCCAGGTGCCCCAGGTAAGCCATCTTGACCTGGCAGCCCACATGACCCTTCTTCACCTTTTCTTCCTAGATAAATACAAAGTATGCACTTTCCCTTCATATGGCTGCATACAGGTTATACATTGTCCAAACATACACAGCATGCACAGGGCCAGTCAGCAGAACTGACACCACCAAGAAATGACGCTTCAGGACAGAGAGGTACAGAACTGCTTTCTGCTGGGAATTCTCTCTACAACTTACTCACCTTGTGACCACAGTAGTAGCTCAGAGGCACGACTTTAGTAACAGCAACTGCTGATAAGGTTTTATGTCCTCTCTACAGAACTTGTGTGACTTACAGTTGAAATCAAAGCACTAACAAACATTATCATGACAAGCCTCTTGCAGAATTGCCATCAGTATCTGTACTGTGTAATGAGTTATAACTCATTCGATGGCAGGCCTTCATCTTTTAGGACCCAATTCAGCAAAGTCTTTAAACATGTACTGAACTTCCTGTGAAGTAATGCATGTATTAAAGTACTTACAAAACAGGGAGGGACTGCAGAATTGGACTACATCCAGTGGGGAAGAGTAACGACATTTTTAGGCTCCTAATGGCCTCACCTTTTTATATTTCTCATATGTATATGCATTTTTAGCAGATAACGAGGTGTGGCCATGACAGTAAAAGATATGCAGGGCACATATAGTGATGGTCCTGTTCACTGGCTACTTCAAACATAATCTGAATTGAACAAAGTTACACTTGTCAGGTATTATTGCACTCAGCACTGTTTTTCCTCTTTTGGTAAAAAACAGTTTTCAGATGAGTATGTTTCTCTAGCACCACAGTTGTTTCTCATTAATGGTGTATATTTAATTCCTTGCAAATTTTGCTATTTAACCTGCAGACTGAGTAATTCAAGGTTGTCTCACAACATTCAAAATTTCCCCACGTTACTTTTTACTAGATTCATTAAGAAAATCTAAAGCAGTTAAAGCAATTTAATGGCTTTTCAATGTTGGCTGCATAGTTACTTTGCCAAAGCTCAAGTACACTGAAGTTTTAGTAATACGCATTGCTTTTGCCAGTAAAATCTCCAGTTTGCCTTCCAAGCCGGGAGAAAATTGGAATTCTGCTATCTTAATGAAAGCAAAAGCATTACTAAGTGTTTCTTTCATAAAACCAGTGTGAGTATGTATCATTGTATCATCTGGTTTTACAGAAACTGTTTTAGTGATGTATATAATGGAAACACAGCAATTCAACCCCAGGAACACCTTGGCAAATCAGTTAAGATACATATAGTTCACTGAAAATTGCCTTGTGTTCACTTTCATGAGGGGAATGACTACTGCAGGGAATCTCCTGGGAGAAAATCATGGATTTTGTCTCTGGAGACACTGGATGTCCAGTGCAGCCATCAGAACAAACTTTGGTTTCCCAAGTAGGAAATACCTAAAACCACACGAGGGGTTCCACTATCTAAACCGAAGACACTGCATTTAGACACAACCTAAACTGAAGACACTACACAGACATGCTATGCTATATTTCTATGAAGATGGCCACTCTGTTGGAATCACCAGTACCAGCCTTGTTTTCTTTTTATCTATCAGAAGAATGTTTCAGTCTTTCATAACTTCTCTTTAAGATCTCTTTGGTCAGTTTTCTTTTGTGGTAACTTTTTCAGTTCTAACAGATAAAAAGTGCTATCGTAGCCGCCTCTCTGACTTCAGTGTCCTTTTAGGACTTTGGTTAGCAGAGCTTTGTGATTCATTATTGCTATATTTTAAAGCAGGTATATTTTTAACATTCCCCAAATATAACCTGTATAAACCATAGGAGTGGTTTGAGGCATTGCTTTTTCATTTATTGGTAAAAAGGAAAAATACCATTTGAAGAACTCTTTTCTCAACAGTGCCTGATGCTTTTGCCCTCCCTGGCCTAGGGAATGCAGTGCAGGCAGGCTCAAGCAGCCTGGTTCAGCTGTATTGATCCATCATCCTCAGCATTAACGAGCCCACTGCATGTTTCTGGAGACTGTTAGTAAGTGTTTATGGGGAAGAGACAGGGTAAAACACAGAGAAGTAACACTGACACTCTGACCCTTCTCAATTTCTTGTCTAAATGGCTAAAATAGACATCCAAGCTTTCAAAACACAAGCTTACCTTGGGGTCCAGGGTGGCCTATTGGCCCTGGTAATCCTACAGAGCCATCGTCTCCTCTTTGCCCTGCTTCCCCAGGAGGCCCTGGGATTGTAGGGCATGAATCATCTATTTTTCCCGGTTCACCAGGGTCACCTGGAATGTGTAATAGGAAAGTAAATTAGACAGAAGATTGGTTAATAGCTCCCATGTGAAAAATCAACATAACTATTAGCTGGTTTTGGTATTCAAGTGTATACTTTAAGTATTTTGAAATTTTGAATTATTGAGTCTCACTGATTTTAATTTTAGTCTTTTAGCACAGCGTTTAACAGCATGGCAAGCATGTGTTAGCAAGTATATGCTAGCTGATATTTAGTGTACAGTTTCTGTCTTAATATGCCCCAAACTGATCTGAGTTAAAGCCTAAAGTCTACCCAACTTCAGCACAAACACCTTGGCACATATGAAGATTTAGAGTACTTTACCTATTCTGTGGCTGCAAAACCATCAATAAGCAGGCCAAAGAGGCTAACCCACAATATCCATTTAACATAATTATAATAACAAAAAATAAGGAATGGCCACATTTTATGTATCAAAAGTTACTGGGAGCTATTGGCTATTTGCATTTTGGAACAAAATCAGAATCTGATCAATTTAGTCAGATTAAGAGTTCAGTGTTTGTAGTAATCCACTATTAGGATTCAAGCTTTTGCTAAGTGTTTGGTTAGAAAGCATCTTGTGTGACAACAAAAAACCAAAATGATAATTTGAAACAAGTGTGTTTTACAAGTCTAACTGACACCATTGCATGAGACTTCTCACTGTAGCATTATCATGATATTGGTCTGCTTGGAAGTGCTAGCTATTTATCTAAAAAATCTATTGGAACTATGTTGTTGTAGCAGTATCTACTATTCTTAGCAGCCAAGCCAAGAATACCTTCTAATAAGAGTGGAATGTAGCTATACAGAAGGAAGCCCACATGAAAAGAACAATAATCAATAGTCATGAACTTACCTATGAAACCTGAAGGATTTGAAAAATGGAAAGCAGATTGCAGCCATTGTAGTGCAGGTGGAAACAAGTTTCAGGCATGTAAATTAGAGTGAAGAACGGAATGAGAACTGAAATCGCTTACATGAGGTGACATCAGAAGAAAATACATAGTTGAGAAATTTTTACACAACTCAAATGAGAAATCAATTAAATTGTTTTTTTTCTGAGATTGTTTAAATTGTCTGTATGAAAGTAAATGTTAGTAAGATTATATATGAATAGAAAGATCATGGTTACAATTGAGTGACAATGAGCAACAGGTTCGTAAGTACCTGTGGGACCTCTGGGACCAGGTTTTCCTTGAAAACCTTGGTGTCCTGGTTGTCCTATAGCACCAGGTGGACCCTGTGGGCCATGGATTCCCATAGGACCTGGAAAGAAAACAGTTGTGCAGTTACATGTGGTTGCATTCTGAGAAGGTGAACTTAACAAATAAGATGAAGTCTGGCTGCTTGAGTAACAAAAAATGCTTGGGACAGCTCAACTCTGTTGTCTCCTAGAAAGAAATGCACATTTTCCTCTTCTCTCCCTGGTCTTGAACTGAATTAAAATTTATGACTTTTCTTTTTGTAGAGATTGGAAGGGATTGGTGTAGACAGGACTTCTCTACAGTGTGTGGAAGAAGCAGGTATCTAGATCCCTATTTTCAAGGTAAAGAATCTGTTGAAAGCCCAAAGCTATCAATATGGTGCAGATGTGAGACTCTGTTAGTTCAAACACATCCGCATCTTCCATAGTTTCTCAAGACCCCTGCAGAGAGGTCAAGGTTTGCTTTATCTGGCAGATTCAAAAGTTTTACTGTCTCATTCTCAGGTTGGTAGGGGAGTCTTCCAACAAGTTGTTGGAAGCAGCGCATGTGAATCTAGCTCTACTGACCTTCTACCCCAGCCCTGTCTTATCTGTAGGTAACAGTGCAGAGCTATGAAATGTCCGGTCTACCCCTTCTGTCTGGCTCAGTCTTCAACGGCAATCCCCTGTGCACAAGGCTCAGTTGCACAGGGCGAGGCGTAAGTGAACTCGCTAGTTAAAAAGATCTTAGATCATACCCTTTGGGCCTCTTCTTCCTTGGTTCCCTGGAAGACCCCTGGCTCCTTGTTGCCCTCGCTGCCCAGGATTACCTGGTGCCCCTCGAATACCGGTATCACCTGGATCTCCTCGCACAAAGATAGTCTCTCCAGGAGGACCAGGATTCCCAGGGTGACCTATGGTAAAAGAACTTTATTCTTAATATATGCACGAAGCATAAACATCTAAAAATAGCCATGTTCCACTGGGTTTTTTGCTTTTTTTTTTTTTTTTTTTCCCCTGGGATATAGGATAGCCCTTGCGTGGTTTTGGAAATATTAGCATTAGCCTTTGTCCAAGGCATTGTAAGGAAGACAATAATAGGAATAGCTCCCAGAACTATGTAGATTCTGTGCACCAAAAGGCAGCAAGTTAATGTTACATGCATTCAGACGCTGTTTCTCTATATTTATTATAGTGTTGCTTACCCGTCCAATCTCCATCCCCTATTTCCCAATAGGAAGTAAGTCTTCGTACTGGGTAAGGAACGGTTCAGATAATACTTAATGTAAGGGGTCAGAACAACTTGAAAGAGCTCCATTTGAGGACCAGAATCTGTAGGAATTGATTGGATCCCTTGGCAACCCCTGCTTGTAACAGAAGTGAGGTCTACATAAAATGCTTACAAATGAGTTGCCAGCTTTAGCTTTCCCAGGGCTGAATTTAGATTGGAAAGCTTTTTGTGGGTTTACCAACACATTCTGGACAATGTGTTTTATCCTTCTTGCTAGAAAGAGGCACCAGTAATCTCATTTCTATTTGCTTCTGTGGAAATTGAGATATGTTGTAGCAGGATTTGTACAGAATTACCATACAAGCCACAAAACTGAACCTGGAGAGCTGTATTTTATCCTTGCTCTGGTGATCTATCTAGTGTTCACTGCTCTGTGTATTCACTGAGGTATTGATTGGTTTCTTTGTTCCCTATGCACTTTTATATGTTGTTCCTCAGATAGCAACCCAGTGACTCCTAGTAGCCTCAGGGGCTTTTTACGTGATCAAATTTGGTATTTTTGGTTTTAATACCTCTGATGCCATCTAAACCAGGTGGTCCTTGATCACCTGGAGGACCAGGAGAAGCACTATCAGGAGATCTTCCTATAGGTCCAGTGGGTCCAACAGGTCCTCTTTTACCTAAGGGATCACATTTCACAAAAAAAAAAGAAAAAAAAAAATCTGAGGTTGTTTTAGATTACAGAAGTAAGTTACTAACTAAAAGAATGCTGACACGTGAAGTCATGGTGGTCAGGTATGCTCTCATTTGTATACTGAACATACCAGTGATTAGGCTAATGAAGACATCTTGTAGAAGTGAAAATATTTGTTATCTTTTTAAACTTTTTAATTCTTTCCATAAAAGCTACTTAAACTGAAGAATGCATCATCACACATTGGCATATTGCCACAAATAGTTGCCTTCCCCTGAATTCTAACAATGGGAGAAATGGTAAAAATGTAAGACGAGTGGGGATTATGAAATCATTCTGCCTGGGACAGGATAAGTATTCACAGATTGTTCCTAGCAAAAGTGAGTTCAGCCGTTTCCTAAAAACCTCAGTGAACAAGATGAATTGACTAGCCTTAAATGTATTTTTTTCCTAATTTGTAATCTGGATTTTTGCAAAATAAGACATTAGTGCCCTTACATGTGACAGGCAGGAAGAGTTACAGGTTACCATCCTCTGCATAACACTTTTGTATAGTCGCAGCTTGTTAGCATCTGTGGTGCACTCTGTTGCCTTCTCTTTTCTACAAAAACCTAAATCTAGTTTCTTCAGTCTTGTTTTTGACTCCATCCTTCCATTTACTCTCTAGTGAGTTCTCCCTAATTTGTCAAAGCTGGACACTGTATACCATGGGAGGCCTTGCCCATCCTATGTCAAGCAGTGTTAATACATTTTAGAATGAAACTTTTTCTCTTTTTTCTCAACACCACCATTCTCTTGACTCGCCCAGTTCACAAACTAGTAACCGAATTGAGAAAAATGACCTGCATCTTCATCTTAGAATAATTCATCTCAACAGAATTCACCTCCGCTATTTTTCTTCTGTGTGTTATGTGACACTGGGGCAAGGTTTGGTAGAGTAAAGCTAATGTCACTTCTAATCACAGAACTGCTGAGGCTTGAATGGGCCTCTGGAGACTTTCTAGTCCAACTCTCTCTTCAAAGCAGGGTCAGCTAGAGCAGATTGCCTAGGACTCTGTCCAGCTGGGTTTTGAGTATCTCCAAGGACGGGCACTTCATAACTTCTCTGGGCAACCTGTTCCCGTATTCAATTACCCTCACAGGAAAAACAAAACTTTTCCTTATTTTAAGTATTTCCTGTATGTCAGTTGGTGTCCATTGCCTCTTGTCCTATCACTGGATACCACTATGAAGAATCTGTCTCTATGTCCTTCCCATCAGGTACTTACCCACATTGATAAAATCCCCCGAGCCTTCTCTTCTGGAGGCTAAGCAATTCCCAATCCCTCAGCCTCTCCTCATATGACGGATGCTCCAATCTCTTAACCTTCTTAGCGGCCTTTCCTCAAACACTTGCTTTTTCCTATTTCTATGCAATTCCTGTATCACCAAGGCTCTTAAATAATCATAGCGATATTGTGATACGGTTCCATCTTGCATTTACATCAGAATAGTTGATAGATTTACTGTATTTCTGTGACTACCAGATCTCCTGCACTCTTTTTCTTCAGGAATTTCTTCCCAAGAGGCAACTCCACCTAGCAGTTCCCTGAGTCTGTCCAAGTCCATCATTTTCTATTCTCATTCTCTCCTCTCCCATAACATAATAAACAAGAAATACTGGGGTCTCTGTATCTACTCAGGAAACATCAGCATGTTATTGCAACAGAAATGTTTTTAGGGAGGGAATTTTCTGGGTATATATTAATGTTCATACTAACCAGGGGAAGAGCCTGTATGAGCTTCCTTTCAACTCTGCAGGGCACCACTAAGGAGTGGTTTTTTTCTTACCTGGGAATCCTGGGAATCCCCTTTCTCCAGGGGGGCCTGGAATAGAAATACCAGGCCATCCAGGTTCACCTCTGTCTCCTTTTGGTCCAAGTTCTCCTGAGTATCCTGGGGGCCCTGTTTCACTTTGACCTTTATAGGAAAACAATTATGTACATAAAGCTTACAGTGAGTACAAATACAGATGTGCAGAATAGAAATACCAGCTGCAGATGTTCCTCCTTGCAAGGGTTGCCTAGTGCTATTTTTCTGGTTCTCTCTTGGAAGCTGGATAGAGTTTTGTTGAATCTGGCCCTAATTAATCTCTTTCAGAAAAAGAAAGTAATCTCTTTGCTTTAATGCTCTTCTTCAGGGGTTATTTTATATGGTGTCATTATTGTCTGTTACTTGTAATGTAAACTGATTGCATGGTCCTAAATTTAATTTTCTATCAGCATAAATTTGTAATCTCTAGATAGACGGTGAGCACTGTTTTTTAATACTGCTTCAAAAGCACCTTTTGAAAGTTGCAAATACATCAGTGTGAGTGAAATCCAGGCTCCTCTTAAGTTTGTGGCACAACTCCCATGGATTTTAATGGGACTGGGATTTCATAAGTCTCCTTTTAATTTGTTCGGTCTATCTTTTACATATAAAAAACCTGCAGACTTGGCTCTACTTTGAATCATATGCACTGAACATTTTTATAAACAGCCTTGAAAGATTCCAACAAAACTATATGAGTAATGGAAGTTTTAAAGTTTTCCCCACCAATAACTGCAGGTGTGTCATTAGGCATACTTTAGATTCTGTTTGAAAGTTTAGTCTGAGCCTTAATGATATCTTCTGGGCAAGGCAAATATCAAAATACCATGCATCATTCCTTGCACATTCGGTCATTTAAGAGAAGATTTTCTGTTCCACATAGCTATTTCCCTTCTTTACCTGGAGCTCCTGCAGAACCTTTTTGACCTTTTAGTCCATCCAAGCCATCCAGTCCGGGCAGTCCAGGAAGACCTGAGAGGTATTACAGGCATGACTGGGTGCCACAATAATCCTTTAAAGTCACAACTGAAAATTATGCCTTTTTTTTTTTTTTCTGACAACACAATCTGGATCAAGACACGTATTTGCTGAATTTGATTCTTATTGGCAACTGAAGACGACATCACATTGCACCTGAGTGCAGTCTTTTTGGAAAGGCAAATGTGAAAAATCTGAAAATAGCAATCATAATACAGTTTCACATCAAAGCAATCAGAAAACATACCTTTTAATCCTTTAGGTATTTCTATACCACAGCTAGCAGCAGGAAGCTCAGTATGGGCTAATTTACTCTATAGTGAACCTTGTCTCTGTGGCTAAACTACTACCGCTACATGTGATTAATTAGTCCAAAGTTAGCTGTGTTATCACTACATGACCAGGTGACTGGGATGCAGACACTACCTAAAATAACAGTAAAGCTGGAACTTCTTTACAGCTTCTGTTCCAAATATAAGTGCAATTTAATCTAGCTGCACTAGAAAGAAGCTAGATTTTCACCTGGCTTCTTTTCCCTGGTCCTGCAGATTTCACACAGAAACCTATGCTTTTTGCATCACGCTATTACAAAAATTCTTTAAACTGAACAGCACAAAATCTTTGTAATTGAGACCTATGCTGACACGTGATAGTGTAGAGCAGCTTTGTCACTAGTGATGTTCACTAGATGACCAGGTCACAGGTTCATAGTAGTCAGATATAATCTGTGCTTTTTTGAAAATTGCTAAAATACAACAAGTAAAAACATAGATGACATTTTTTATCCATTTTTTTAAAAGTTGAACTAATCTGAGATTGTGTTTGTTGTTTGCAGTGGAGGGTAAAAATATCTCCATGTCATTAGCACTTTATAGTTTCCTAAGTTGTATAGATGAAGAATCAAATATGAAGACATACACTTATTAAATGCAGATGGCAGCCTATCACCTGGTGATAGGAACAGATTTGGCAAAACTGATGGGTCATTTGGTAACAGGTTTCAAAGAGGTTTCAGACAGAGGAATAGACTTGGGATGCTTTTTGCTCCAGAAGGGGACAGATTAGAGTGGACACTGATCATCAAGAAGTTGAACAATACTGTCAGTGCCTATTCCTGTCTCTTTCTACCTTTGCTGCTTATCTTTGCCCCATTTCCTTCCCCACCAGTTCCTCTACCTGCCATGAAGGATTCCCAGTCCAGTTGCAGTGTTTTTTTTCTACAAGTCTGAATTATCTTTCTGTCTGTCTCCTTTTCCCTGTCTAGCTACTTCCTGGCATAAAGATGTAGGTTCTCTGTTTCAGTTCCTGTGCTTGATCCCAGCATGTCCTGCAGCATGCAAATCTGCTGTATATCCAGAGCATGAATCATGGGAGAATTTATTGCTCTACTTAAACACATATGAAGGGATATACTTTTTTAAAAGTTTGTAAGCTGGTCAAATTTGGCAGGGACAAATTGTTATAGGAACAGCAATACAAATGCCCTTCATCAACTGCTTCACCAAATTTAAAGGTCCCTAGATCAAAGATGTGTCATCTGAGAAAGGAGAAATAAAAAGGGCACTAGAGTTCTCTAACAGACACACCAAAAATAATAAACCCATAGCTTTGTTCTCAGAAACTGTTGAATTATTTTGGTTAAAATTTAACAAAGGAATGAAAGGAAAGGAAAGAAAAAATCCAGCCTGTAGCAAACACCGGTCTGGAAAAATTTTAAATCAAGAAGATTGTTTGAAAACGCGCAAGACATTGATAATATACTCTCTATGTAATCCCCTTTATAATACGGGATACTAGTAATCCAACCTGTAATATCTTCTATGCCCTTAATTAACTGCTCTTTAACTTTTCATGACATTCTAAATTTCAGTCCTGCTTTCTGTAGCCTGCTTGTGCTTTGGGCATGTTCCCGTTTTCAAATTTATGTGAGTTGCATGCCAATTTGGGGAATTTAACAGTGGTATTTTAAAATGATTATGAACTCCTAACTATTTTTGGCACCCAGGACACCATTTATAACTTTTCTGATCTTTAGCTCACTCAGTCAAGATTGATGGCTTGGTTTACTTGCTTTCCAGGGAATTTCTGACACATTTGCCAACAATCCATTATAATATCAGCACTTGTAATTCTAGATTTTTGGATTGCTATAGTCCCATATTTCTAGGTACAGCTGAATTGGCTGACCTATGTATGAACCACTGTTTCTGTATTTTACAGCCCAATTCAGCTTCTACTCACACAAGTAATTCTGCTGATGTTAGTATTACTTGCTTCATCACGGATTACTCACACAAGTAAGGCTTGCCAGACTAAGCCCTTAACTAGTAAAACTATCTCTCTAATAAAGAAAATGTGATTATGCTTTGGTAGATGCTGTTTAACTAATTTTTTTTTTTTTAATCTAAAAGTTCTTCAGGCACAAGACATTTAATGTAAATGAGAAGCAATTAGACTAACAAGGCTGTGTACTTAACTATGAACAGCCAGTTAACCATTTCACTTCTAATGCTAGCAACAATATTTATTGAAAATACCGTTAAGATCTATATTCTCCAATTGAAACTCCATTCAGTTTTCATGGGTATAATTTCAAAGGTGTTAACCTTCTTTTCAACTATGCTGGCAATATATAGAATCCTAAGGCTTAGCAGGCAACTTGGTCTCTAATGAATTGCCATTTGGAACTGAACTTTTCCCTCTGCAGCATTAATTTGTTACGCTTCCTGTTCAGGACTTGGGATAACTTCTGCACAATATAGAAAAGTGTCTTACCACTTATGACAGGAAGGAAAGAGGCCATCTGCTACTAAGAAGTTTTCAGCAGAAGAATGCTTTTTTTTTTTCCTTTTTTGACCCCTCTCAATTTAGACATCCCTGTCACTGCAGATCTCTGCCTTTGTTACAGCAAATATTGCTTGCAACAATGAAATGTTCTCTTGCAGGATATGCACCAGCAAGGAATCTGTCATGACAATTTAAATCAGCACCACTTATTTACTGCAAGCAATCATAAATGGTTTCCATTTTTCATTTACATTTTCAGTAGTTTATAAGAAACCTTTTCAATTTTTCTTTAGGCTGAATTTGAAAAAGTGAATCTATTGTCCTCTCAAACCATTTATCATAGCCCCAAGTGTTACTTTACAGTGATTTCTGCATATGGGTCACTAATATTATTCTTCCTGTCCAGGAAGCGGTTATGAAGGACACTGTAACAGAGAGAGGATACAAAGTACATAGTTGATTACCTTTCTTTATGAAGTATTAATGTAACTTATAATTTCAATGTATCATTCTGAGTATAGTAGAAGTTAATAATGTTCTCCAACAAAAACAACTGTATAGATGAACTGCTGTTCAATCCAAACATAACAATCATTGTGAGAAATGTAAATTAGGATTTGGAGGAAACATTTCTATGTTAAATCCACCAAAAAACAACAAAACCAACAACAAAAACCTTATCATAATGTGTTAAAACAAATTTGTAAGACAAAACTGTCCATAGCAGTCTGCTGGTTTTGTAGAGTAACAGTGGCACTCCATGGTGAAAAGGTAGAACACAGCATAATTGAAGTGAAAGTGAAACATCTGAATTACTGCAAACTTCTTTTTCTTTCCTTAACTTCTGTTATCAGTTACATCAGCTGAGCCAGAATCTGGTTCTACCTATTTCCATACACATTTTAGATTGTAGCCCAATTTTCTGAGGTAGCATTTATATTACTTCTCAAAGGTGATGGGAACTGCCTTAATTCTTCTAGTAGTTTAAGAGAATACAGATTCAAAATCATGCGCACAGTTAGGCCTTTTCCATTTTCACTACTAAAAGCGTATTTACGTCTGGTGCTGTTACATTACCAGTAGAACTGCACTGTATACTGTTTACCTTTTCTGCCTTGGGATCCAGCTAATCCTTGCAATCCTGGAGGTCCCAAAATTCCACGTTTCCCTTCTTCTCCAGGTTCTCCTGGCAAGCCCTGAGGACCTGTAGCTCCTGAGATTCGAAAAAAAAAATCTGTTAATATGCAAATCTATTAAACTGTTGATTTTTTTTTTTTTTTTTTTTTAATGCTATGCAGCTCACTGTGTTAATCAGAGGTACCTGAAAGTGTATGGGAATGTATGAAGAACTGATGGATTTTGCTCTCTGAGAAGACTATTGCTGCTGCCTATATGTACTGAAATAGCTTTCAATACACACCTTCATATGATCTCTGATTTCTCTAGCCTCCTCCACAGAAGTGCCTCCTCAGCTGCGTTTTCCTATTCCAGATCTCTTTTGAGCTGTTACATGGCACTATTTTTTAAACTTCGGCATTACCTGGAAATCCAGGTATTCCTGGGTATCCAGGGTCACCCTTGGATCCTGGTCTTCCAGGTTGCCCTTGGATACCTGGTGAACCCTTCTCTCCTGGGAATCCACAGAGTCCTTAAAGAAAAAAAAAATCTAGCATTTATTTGTTTAAAGTTGCCCATTCTTCATCTCATGATAAGTTTAAAAATATAAAAGTTCAGTAAGGGATTTCTTGACTAGAAAAAGAATTTTATTCAAATACTTCAGATCCTTGCATCTATTTATTAGCAATGAATTATACTGATCTCTCTGGTGATATCTGACAGAGCAGAAATGGCTAGCAAGATACAGCCAACCAGGTTTTATTCTGGTAAGTATTGGTATGTTCATCGGTGCTGTACTAGATAACGGTAGATTCTACCTCCTACGTTCATGCTAGCCATATTGCACATTGTGATGCCTCTCCATAGAAACTATAGAAAATACCGCTCAATATGCACAGGAAGCAGAGCTCCCCCTCCACTAACAAAACTTAGAGAAAATAAGTTCTTCAGTCCAATTTTTTCTTCAATCAGACAGAGGTACCTGGTAATCCTGGATCTCCGGGAGGCCCTTTTCGACCCCGTGTACCAAGCAGAGGAGTTGGGTCACCTCTCTTGCCTGTTGAGGTACAATGACTTTCATTTCATACAAGTATCCTTTTCATCCACAAAGCCAAAGCTGGACAATTTTGTAAGATCAGATAATTTACTCATAGATATTAACAGCTATAAAAGGGACTGAGAGAACACAGAATGAAAAATGCTTTGGCACATGCAAATTATCTGCCAGCTCAGCTTGTCTTGAAGTACTAACTCAGTTTGTGTTTAGTATGACTCCTGGCAGTATTCATGTAAATTTCCCATAATGAAAAAAACAAAACCAGAAATTATGGGAACTTTCCCAATACTGACAGCATATACTAAAAATGAAAGATATTGCATAAAATCCCTATAACACAAAGAAAACTCCTTACATAGGTTTGTGAGGATGTGCAAAATCAATACAGCATGAGTCTATTGACTCAGTAAAGACCTTTTAGGGACTAGCTGGGGACTTTAAGCCAGCACACCTTCTTCCTTCTGTCTGTGCTGAAATTCCTGTTTATCACAGAATTAATAATTCTGAGCAATTTTGCCTTACACTGTGTACAAATGTCTGACCTCTCCTACCTATTCATGCTGTCTCCAGCTTCATTGACTGATTTCGCTGTGAAGAGTTAAGAGGAAAATATCAACGTCAAGTGTTGCTAGAAATCCCCTGCCGTAACAATCCCTGCCTTTACTGGCTATTTCCTGCTTTAGTTTTAAGGATAACTTTTCCAGTAAATTTGTTTTCAATACATTTAGTAAAAGTTCTCTTTATATTGAGTATTGTTCTTCACTTTTTTTTTGTGGGAATATATTCCCTGGCTGAGAAGGTCTTGGATTTTTGAAGAAATAGAAAATGTAACTGAGAAAAGAATTTCTCCTGTCGCATTAATGCTTTTTTCCAGGCAATGATTTAATTTTGTTATTTATTAGTAATGAAATCCTGCTCCAAGGAAATTTGGAATATGATGGGTGACACCATTTTGTATTTATTTGAAACACTTTTAAAAATCTAAATATTATAGATCAATTTTTCAGAGTAATCTCTACCTATGCAAAAATAATATGCAAAACTTCATCTTTTCAAAAGAATAATTTTGCATGCCTGGGTATGAATTCTGCCTAATTTGTTACACTACACTTTCAGGTGTTCCAAGAATTCAAAAATCACAGCCTAGAAAACACTGGAAAATAAGTGATATTAAAGAAATTATAAATCACGTTGGAATATTTTAAAAATGCTACATATCTGTATAATACCATACCATAATACCACAAATTATTGCATTTTCTCTTATTTGATTTGACAAATTTTACAGATCCATAAGAGTGGATTTTTACATGTGTTTGATGGAATTTTTAAACTTTATGAAATTTGACACAAATTTATCTTCTAAATTAGTAAGACCTACTGTAAAAGGAACAAAATTAAAGAATACACTGAAATGCAAATTTTGCCTTCAGGTAAGTCAGACTTGTTTCTAATGACATTCATGTTTTGATTATTTTCACTTACGTCCTGTTTTTCCTTTTCTAATGAGTACTCTCCATCTATCAGAGCATATACATCCTAACAATATTGCTCTTTTCAAAAGCATGTCGATATAAACTCATTACCTTTAAATCCTTTTGGGCCAGTCAGTCCTGGATTTCCAGGGATTCCTGGTAAGCCAACATCACCCTGATTTTTTTAAAAACAAAATAAAAATGTTTGACATATGATATGTGTAGCAGGAAGAGCATTTGGTTCTCTTACACTGGTAAACGGACCAGCGATCAATATGAATAGCAAAACCATATCTTAAGCTCAACAGAAAAGCCTGCTGTCTTTGTTACATGTCTAACACTGACCACTAACACTTCCAAGAAACTGTAGATTAGACGTGCTAATAATTTTTAATTCTTGCTTTTATAGTTTATGCTAACTCTTGGCTTGAACAGCTTAAATTCCCCACAGATGGCTTGAGTAATTTGATTTAAAAGGTACCATAAAAATGTACCAAATATTGTTGTATGTTACCCAAAATTTACTATAAACATTAACCAGAAATGTTGTGATTTAACAGTAAAAATGTAAAGTTTTCTCTACTTCTCCTTTTGAATAGTGACCTATAATCAGCAAAACACAGATTATCTCTTCAAAGAAATATAATAAAAGACAAGCCAAGCAAAGATATGTCCCTTTACCAAAAAAACAACTGTGCTTTATGCTTCGTGTAATCTCACTGCCTGTCTACCTAGCATACAAGCCAGTGAAGAATTTTACTGTGTATTCTTACGTGATATATGTGCAGTTTTCTATATTTGTCCTTGAGCAATATTGTTTGCCGGGGTTCTGTTTGGTGCAAGTTGTCGGTATGGGCACAGAAAACTTGGTTTGTCTTGGCTATTGGCTTGGCTGCTCCACATAGCAAGATATGAAGAAGCAGCTATATATTAATTTCATACTTGTGCTGCTGCTATGTTATGATCTGTGCAATAAGTGATTCATCAATCTGTTCTCAGGAATAATGTTAAAGACTTGATTATGCATCCATTTTTGCCCCCCTAATTAGTGCATGTAGCCTGGACTTCCACCAAGTGGCAATATAATAAAATCACAACATGCAGCTAGGAGAGAGGGGAGAGACCCTCTGTTGACTCTGACTACAGTTCCTGCTAAAATGTAACCAAAGCATTGAAGTGTTGCATTAAGGAATTTACCTTTCTTATTATACTGACAGTCTCTTCTCAGGAGGAACATCTAATGGGTAAGTACAATAGAAGTACCCTTCGTCATATTTCTTGGAGGCAGGAGATAACTGCAAAATCCAGGACATTTCACTACCACTTTGTTTACCTGGTCACCTGGTTGTCCCTGAAAACCTGTAATTCCTTTGAAGCCCTTTGGTCCTGGGAAACCCTGTGATCCTGGAAACCCCATCAGTCCAGTGTCACCATGGTCACCTGGCAGTCCTGGGACACCATTCTTCCCTGGAAATCCTGGGGTGCCTCTGAAACCAATATTGCCTTTTTCACCTGAAGTTAATTGCAGAACAAGAGAATGACCAATATAGTCAAGCCATTATTTGACACTTATTTTGAATATGGCTATGCTTTCACACTTTGTGTATTGCCTTAGTAATTGTCCAAAGAAACTAGCCTGCTAGTTTAAGAATCTATAAACACAATAAGGTTGCTGGACGTTACTGTAGCTATGAGTCCAACTGTGAAAAATACCAGTGATTTCTATCAGATGAATGTGTGTGTATGCAGGGCTTTATTTTATGAACTTACCTCTTTCACCTCTAAATCCGTTCTCACCAGGAAACCCTGGTTCCCCCTTTTGTCCTTTCTCAAGACGGATGTTAACATAGCCACTGTCTCCTGGAGGCCCTCTTTCACCTTTGAACCGAACATACGGAATGTAAGTAAATCCTCATGAGTGACATGTCCTGAAAATTAATTTTAGCAAAGACTTCCCTAACAGAGAAAGTCTTCAAATGCTAATGCAGTTCTCAGTTTCAGCAGGCTCACTGCTAACAGAATTTATTGTCCTTCTCTTGCTTTTTAGTTAATTCAGTAGTAACCCAGGTGACGTTAAATCAGTATTATTCCCTGCTTGTCTGGAATACGAAAGATGGCAATTGTATTGTCCACTCCACAGTGTACTGTGTCTGTGATTGCACCTTGGAGATGGTTATTCTCTTTCCTATATTAATATTTAGAGAGATTATTTCCTGTACGTTTTACATAGATTGAAGAACACAGACAATATCATAGAAAACTTGAAAAATCTAAAGTTTCAGATGTGTACACGACAAAATTCAAGGTTTGTTTGAATAAGTGATCCTACTCTGTTTGATTTAGTGGTAAATGCACCTCTTGATCTGAGTGGAATTTTTTTTCTTTAGTTATTTTTCATTATGCACTCCTAAGTGAGATAACTGGATTTAGTATTTCTGAAAATAGAAGTGAATATACCCTTATAACAAGAAGAAAAAGTAAATATATTCCTAACACAGTAGTAATAAAACTAAACATAGCAGTAACATAACTACAGAGTGAAGCGGATTTTTACAAACCTTTTATTCCCATATCTCCACATTCTCCACTAGGCCCAGGTGGACCCATTTTTCCTTCTTCACCTTTTACACCAGAGATTCCCATTGGGCCTTGTGTTCCTGGGAGTCCTGAGAATCCTTGGGGTCCTTGAATCCCTTTGCTTCCTGGTAATATTAAATGCTTTATTTACATATTCAGTCTGCTATGCTGTTGCTGTCATATTCTAAGGAAGAGTATAAAGCAAAAGGCAGGAAGTTTAGAAGGACTTCTTAGGAAATCAGCAAAGCTAGAGAACCAATAGTTGGAACATGGCTTCATGCCAAGATCAAACTTGTCTTGAAATCCAGATTTCCTTGAAGCAAACATCTTCCCCTTCCCTACTGCCACCCCCTGGAGATTTAAAGTACACTTACTAATAAAGCAGTTATCCCCAACACATCTTAAATACAATGCATAGCCTAAGACACCACCAGATTTTGCATGTGGCTACTGGAAATCACGACTCCTATTGCTCAGATGACAGACAGAGGAAAACAGGATTTTGCTATAGTTACTCAGAACTTTTAACCATTAGCCAGTGATGATTTGGGACCAAGGTCACGTTCCTTATAAGTATTACACATAATGTGAAGCTATTTCTCCACTTACTCACAGAATCGTAGAATAGAATCATAGAATCGTTTAGGTT